TCTTGAGATATCTCTAAATCCAGGTGAGATCTACTCAAGGTACTTTGGCTTTTGAGAACTTGTTTTTTTTTTTTTTCATTTTTAAACTTTTTATTGTGAGCTGAATGAAGGTTTACAGAGCCCATCATCAGTTTTCCATTCAGTAAATCATATACTTTGCTTCATTACAATTATTGCAATCACCTCTAGGTATGATCAATTAACAGTATTTGCCTCTATTTCCTTTAACTCTTGCACTCCTCCCTGTGTCTCCTGCTAACTTCATCTTTCCTCGGCTGGGGTCTTGTTTTAATTTTCTTCACCTTTAACTTGAATTTGCATATAAGCCGTTGATGGTCTGTTTTACAGTCAGCCCCTTGCTTTGTTCTGACTGATGATACAAATCTTTTCTATTATTCCTTCCCATAGATGTAGTCTTTGAATCCAGTAAGGTCCATGTGTCTAGTAGACATTTATATTGTAGAAAAAAGGTATTCCCAGTGAATAAGTCATTGGTCTTGCAAAATTCTGTCACGCCATCTCTGGCATTGTTTCTTTTAGCAAGGTCACATTTTTAAACTACTGATACTTTGCTTCCAGCTTTCGAAGTGTTATTGTTGTTAAGTGCCGTCAAGTCGGTTCTGACTCATAGTGACCCTATAGTGAGTGACCCACTGAGGAGAAGTTGGTGAACTTGAACTACCGACCTTGCGGGTTCATACTGACCTTGCAGTCCAGTGTATTATCCTGCCACCAGCAATCACCAATGCATCCTGATTGCATGTTTGATCTATTTCAGAGCGCAGATGTTGGGGGAAATCTTCAATTTCTTCATCTTTGACATTAGTGATTGGTGCATAAATTTGAATAATAGTCATATTAACTGGTCTTCCTCCATAGGCATATGGACATTATCCTATCACTGACAGTGTTGTACTTCAAAATAGAACCTGAAATGTTCTTTTTGATGATGAAAGCAACGCCATTCCTCTTCAATATGTCATTTCTACCATAGTAGCATATGGTGTTGGCAAATATATTAAAATTACGGACTGCCACAGGAACAAACAAATCCATCTTGGAAGCGGTACGGCCAGAGTGCTCCTTAGAAGCAAGGATGGCGAGATTGTCTCCATAGATATCAGGACACGTAACCAGGAGAGACCATTCCCTGGAAAAAGATATCATGCTTGGTAAGGTGACGGAGCCGTGAAAAGAGAAGACATTCAACAAGAGGATGGACAGAGTGACCACAGCAATGGGCTCAAACCTAACAATCATGAAGATGGCACATCTAGTTCGTTCTGTTGTGCATAGAATTCTGTGAGTCAAAACCAACTCAGTGGCATCTAGCAACAACAGCAGCAGCAGCATAGTAAACCAGATGATGATCAGATTAAAAATAGCTAATACCAGTCCATTTCGGCTCACTAATGCTTAGGCACTGTAGGATAAGCACTGGGCTACTAACTGTAAGGTTGGTGCTTCCAAAGCCACTCTTTGGAAGCCCTATATAAGGTCACTACGAGTTGGAGCTATGCTGAGCAAATAATCCAAGAAGCTGGGTTCTATGAAGAAAAACGTGGCATCAGGATTGGAGGAAGACTCATTAACTGATGATACAATCTTGCTTGCTGAAAGTGAAGAGGACTTGAAACATTTACTGATGAAGATCAAAGAGCACAGCCTTCAGTATGGATTGCATCTCAATGTCAAGAAAACAAAAATCCTCACCACAGGACCAATAAACAACAGTCTTATCAATGGAGAAAAGATTGAAGTTGTCAAGGACTTCATTCTTCTTGGATCAACTATCAATACTCGTGGAAGCAGCAGTCAAGAGATCAGACGAATATTGCATTGGGCAAATCTGCTGCACAGGAACTTTTTAAAGTATTGAAGAACAGAGATGTCAGCTTGAGGACTAAGGTGCGCCTGACCCAAGCCATGGTATTTTCAATAGCCTCATATGTATGTGAAAGCCGGAGAGTGAATAAGGAAGATCGTAGAATTGATGCCTTTGAGTTGTGGTGTTGGAGGAGAATACTGAAAGTGCCATGGACTGCCAAAAGAACCAATAGATCTATTTTGGAAGAAGTGCAGCCAGAGTGCTCCTTGGAGGCCAAGATGGCTAAACTTCGTCTCTCATACTTTGGACATATTGTCCAGAGGGAACAGCCGCTGGAGGATGTCATGCTGGGTAAGGTGGAGGGTCAGAGAAAAAGAGGAAGACCCCCAACGAGATGGATTGGCTAGGTGGCATCATTGATGGACTCAAGTGCGGCAACGGTAGTGAGGTTGGCCCAGGATCGGACATTGTTTCATTCTGCTGTGCATGGGGTCGCTATGAGTCGGTTCCGACTCGTTGGCACCTGACAACAACAACAACATGAGTTGGAGCTAACTTAATGGCACTTACCAACAACAATACTTAGAATATTGGTCCTTATGTCTTTCATTTAATGTTTGATGACTTCCAATTTTCCTAGATTCATACTTCCTACATTCTATGTTCCAATTATCAATGGATGGTTACAGCTGTTTCATCTTATTTTGAGTCATGGCACACCAGCAAATGAAGGCTCTGAAAGTTTTATTCCATCCACGTCATTAAGGTCAACTTTACTTTAAGGAGGCAGCTTTTTTTTTTTTTTTTCAAATGTTTTATTGTGAATTATGTGATAGTTTACATGGGAGAACATTAGTTTTACATTCATTCTATTGTATATCGTTTCATTGCCATGGTTACAAGAGGAGGCAGCTTTTTCCTAGTCATTTTTTAAGTGCCCTCCAACCTGAGGGACTCATCATTTGGCATTATAGCTGACAATGTTCTGCTGCCATTCAGAAGGCTTTTACTGGCCAATTTCTTCAGAAGTAGATTGCCTGATCTTTCTTGTTACTGTCTGAAGTTCTGATGAAATCTATCCACCATAGGTGATTCTGCCAGTATTTGAAATACCAGCAGCATAACTTTCAACATCATAGCAACACACAAGCCACCCACCACAGTACAACAAACTGACAGACAAATTGTGGATGGTACAGATAATGTATGGGGAAGTAATAAATTATAAGAGGGGGTAGGAAACGTCTCTATGAGACAGACACTTAGAGAAGTGTCCTGCCTAGTACTACAGAGGAAGGTCCTGAACTTGCATCCTCAGTCCTCCCACTGCACAGTGCAAGAAAGTGGGGCCGAGGCCCCAAAGGGCCCCCTACCAACCTAAATATTGACGATTTACCTTAAGATGTCTATAGTTTTAATGATTTTTTGATTATGAGGGAATGTAAATATGTCAGAACGCCCCCATTTCCCCTTGTTAGTTAGTGAATTAGGATCTACCCAAGCTCAGTTTTTAAAGTTACATAAGCATTATTCAAAGCTTCTCTAACCGTCACTTTCATTTTGGAAAAATAGCAATTCCATTAAAATGGTGTTATATAAAAAGGTTTTATGGCTGTGTGTGTAGGAACAGTAGGAACAAGCACACAAGAGTACTCTAAGGCATGTCTATATCATAATCTCTGCTGTCCCCTGAAAGAGCAGCCACTGGGAGCAAGTATCTGATCATTTCCAGAGCATCACTTTGGGGACCTACTTGTCCTGGACCACTAGTGATGGCTCCTGGTATATGTTGAACAAAGGCAACTGCAGCCAGGGACTGCCCCTACTCTCACCCCCCAGGTAGATAGGAGTCCTGACTTTTCTGGGAATCCCTTTTCTAGCCATGTGTGAGTTCCATTGAATCATAGACTACTAGGGTTGGAAATGGATTAGAAGTCACCTAGTACAATCTCCCTTTACACCACTCTGGCCAGTGTAGAGTTGAACAGTTCCCTACCTTCCAAGGCAGCCCAGGCCACCTGTGGGCATATGCAGACCACGGGGGAAAAAAATCTTTTGGGAACAAATGTAAACCTCTCATCCATAAAGCTGAAGCTTTTCCCATACAGAGACGTCTATGCATATAAACTGAGGCTAGGACAGGGGAAGTGGGGGCCCCTGAATGAAAATGAATGGCTTTGAGCAAAGCTCTCAGTACCTCAGGTCGCCTCAAAGTGTGTGGGTCAGACGGTCCCCCAGTCAGTTCCAGCTCTGACATTCTAGAGTCCTGGGGCCGCCAGCCACCACATCACCCCTTTCCGGCTTTTATTGGGGTATCCTTTTGTTTAGCCTTAGTAGGGTCGTGGGTCGAGTTGGGCTGCTAACCGAAATGTAAACAGTTCGATCTATCAGACGCTCAAGGAGATATGGATTAGGCTTTCTGATTCCATAAAGATTTATAGCCCTAGAAACCCTCTAGATAGGGTCGCTATGAGTCAGAACCAACTCCAGGGCACACAACCACTTTTGTGTGAAACAGTGGATCCACTATTAGAGGGCCAAGCAGGAAGTAAGAAAATTGTCCCAAATCCTTCCTGCCTGATCCGATCCAGGTAAAACTTCACGGTTCGACCCAGTCAGCCGAAAGAGAACTAGCTGAGCACAAACGCTAAGCACAAAGTAGGAAAACGTGAGCTTTGGAGTGTCCTTTTAAGTAGTTGGGAAGGGGGTGTGGCCGAGGAGATAGGCGGATGCGGTCCGGCGAGGGAGGAGTGGCCCGGGGGCGTGACCGTAGCGACTGGAATGTTGTTGGGTCGTCGCAACGCATAGTAAGAAGGGACCACGCCCCTTTTCTCTGACACAGCCAATCGGAGATCCGGAGCAGTTTCAAGTCTCCCCAGTCAGCCTGCCCGCCTGCCACCCCACCCCCCTCGGGGATTCGCTTTTTCCGTAACAAAACAGCAAAGCTCCTGGTTGTCCGCAGCCCCGGCGGTTCACAGGTGGAGGGTCCCCGGCTCTAGGACACTACCCTGGAGCAGGAAGCGCCGGCGAGCTTTGGAGAGGCCGAGTCCGGAGCTGAGAAGCGCGCGGGGGTGGGCGCTGCAGCCGCGGGTTGTTTATCTGGAGTACGGAGGGGAGGGGGGAGCCTGGAAACCGCCCCGTGTCCCATTTCCTCCTCTTGTTTTCGCTCCGGATTCTCCATGTTGGACCCAAACTGAGGAACCCGGAGCTGCCGCTGGGGGATCGGGGCTGGGGGCACCCGGGGGAGCCGCTGCCCCGGCCGCCCGCCCTCCGTACAGGCCGCCTCCCTTCCTGGCCCAGGGAGGGAACGAGAGGGGGAATGTGAACAGCTGCGGAGTCGGAGTCTCGGGAGCCGGAGTCGGCCCCCGCCCAGGCCCCCCAGCCCAGCCCAGCGTGCGCGCCCGACCGTCCTCCCGCCCAGCCAGCCCGGGCCCGCGGGATTGTTAGATGGAACACGGCTCCATCATCACCCAGGCGCGGAGGGAAGACGCCTTGGTGCTCACCAAGCAAGGTAGGGGCAGCAACTTCCCAAAACTTTGCGTCGCCCCCAGCGGGGAGGGGGCTAGCGCTGGCCCGAACCCGGGTCCTGGCCCTGGGCCTCCCGGGGTTCAAAATCGAGGACTCCGGACGATTCCGACTGACCTCCCCTGGTCCATCCGCCCTTGCGTCGGGATGGACACTCAGCCCCCCATGGGGGTTGCACGGGCCTGGCGCCGAGGGGGAGGGGCGGCACCGCGCAGCTGTCATCGCGAACCGCACCCCTCCCCCCGGGGCTGGGAGACGGGGGCCGCGCGCGGAGCGGGAGCCCACTGGCGTCTGTCCCCTCAGGAGTCGGGAGCTGGTGGGGTCGTCACTTTCCAGCACGTAGCACGCAGCGGCCCCAGACCACCAAGAGGTGGGGTGGGCAGAAGAGTGCAGAGCTGGAGCGGGGCCGGGACCAGAGTCCAGCACTTCCCAGGTCCCCCGGCCCGAGGTCGCTCCGGTGGCGGGCGGGGACGGCGTCCGGCGGGACTTGAGACCAAGTTGGCCGCCCGGAGGCGGGGGCGGGGGCGTTGGGTGGGGGAGGGGCCGGGCTCCGAGAGCGCTGGGCTGGGGAGCTCGGCTCTGCTCTGGGCCTGGGGCCTTCTCCGGGCTGCCTCCCACCAGTCTTGCTGAGCAAACAAGCGGGACCCCGAGGCTCGGCCGGAGCCCCTCCCTGCCCTGGTGCGCTCCCCTGGGGCCGCCGCTGCACACACAGAGCCGCGTTTGTTTAGCCCGGGAGCGGTGTCCCTGGTTACATAATTCGCCGATGGCATCAGACTCGGCGTGTTTCTGAATCGCGCAGCGAAAAAGTGCGAGTTGTCTGTGGGCAGTTGCCCGCGGCCCCCCGCCTTCCTGAGGGTCAAGTGGAGGAGACGCGAGGAGGAACGCGGGCCCTGTTTGGGGTGGGCTTGGACACGCGAGCGGCCTGGCGCCTGGGCCTTCCCTGGGGCGGGGAAAGGTTAGGGCCCCAGTGGAATGTCAGTTGGTTTTGTCACAGTGGAGGCCCCAAAAACTCGTCCCTCCCCTCCTCCATGTCTTCTTCTGGCCTTGAGGAATGTGTCCAAAATAGCGGACAAAATTTCCATGGGAAGTAGGAACTCTAGTGTGTTTGTTTGTTTTGTTTTGTTTTGTTTTCTGGAGAATTCCCCCGACTGGAGCTACCTGGGAAGAGAGCACGCTCGTGGGATCAAATCCAGAGCGTCGGTGTCCCCACAACACCTTTCTCCACACCCACACCAAAAAACGGGCCCCTAAGGGCCAGTGCTGCAATAGAATGTACTGAAGTCCTAGAGCCTGCGGGGGGGGGGAGGGGGGGTTCATTCCCTACCCCGTTTGACAACATTTGAGTGGTCACTTATTCTTGGGATTCACAGTGATCCCAAGAACTCCCCACACTTGCCTAAGAACAAAAAGCTGGGTTGGTAAGGTCAGCCATTCTCCCCGATTCTCTTAGTGGAATTGGGGGTGGGGTGGACAGTGTATGCATAGGCGTCACTGGCCCTTCCTTAAAGTAAGCCTGCTCCTAAGGAAGGACAGCCTTGACTGCTCACAATCCAATCCCCCAGAAAAGCTCCTGCCTTCTTCACCTCAGTTTTGGCATGATCTCTGCTCTCCCTGTATCACTAACTGGCTGTGTGAACCACGCTGCAACTTCACTGCCTCTGCTGGCTGCTCTGCTCTGCTGAGGGCTGTGTGCATAATTTCACTGCTTACGTCCCTCTCTTCCCAACTGCTCATCTCTGGAAAGGACCTTAAGAGTGCATTAGAGGTGGAGAAATGTGAATGTGGAGGGATTCCAGAGGGGGTAGTCGTGATGAGAAACAGGAAGAACAACCCTTACCCAGGCCCTCTGTTCTGACCAGCCACATTAAAAAGTTAGGAATAGCTGGATTACTGGAGGGTCATTTACAAATCACAACTGGAAGTTTCATCCACCAGGGCCACCAGAGGGAAGCAGAATAGATGCACAGCAGAAAGCAAGCAGCTAGCATCTTGACATTGCTAGGTTACCGATATTGGTTGGATTTTCTTGGATATACTATATTCATTTGCCTTTTTTTGTGGTTTGCTCTTCAGATTCACTATCCCTGAAGGAATCTGAATTGGCAGGCCAGTAGCCTGCTGAGTCTCTCTCTCCCCATTTAGTTTGATTGCACTCCAGAAAAGGCACACTTCTTTTTGGTCAGCTTGGATACCATCAACTACTTAGCCAATTTTTTGAGGTCCTCAAAATTTACAAAGAAAGCCTACATCTTAAAAAAACCAAAAAGGCCAATGATGCTGAATTCACCCCTTTAAGAGTTCCCCAAGTGTCCGCCCCCAACCCCTCCACTATATCCCATGTACTGTCTTGCCTCCCTCTGGAAAATGGAAAAGGAATGTGGCATTTTATTAATAAGAAAATGTTTGCAAAGAAATAAATTGCTCCTAGTTTGGGTGACTTTAGTGAAGTTGTACCACTACAGCTTTTAAAAATCTTTCTTAGCATTTTGTTCTTTGAGCTTTAGACTGTTTGGGTGTGTTGATGATTCAAAAGTAATTATAGTAGGAGAAGTAGAACAAAGTTGCTGAAATAATTGATTAAAGGACCAAAATTGGATCATCTTCCCAGATAGACAGGTAAAATAACTTCCTGGTATAGTAGGAACAGAGTTGTGTGTAACATCAAAAACCAGATAACTTATGTCACTACGTTACTGGGATGTTGTGCCATCAACTTTGGGGTTGCGGGGGGCAGCCCCAAGTGTGGAACGAAGGTGGTGGCAGCCTCTTCCTCGAGCCCAAATAGGCCCATGGGTCCTTTGGCGGGAGTTGGGACTTTTTTTTGTTTTCTGTGTGGCCTGATGTCACTTCATGGCAGGGAGGAGATGACTCTGCCTTGGGTTCCTCATCGCACATGTGGAACATCTTTTAGCTCATCACAAAGATCTCCTGAAAGATCCTAATTCTGCCTAGGGGTTAGGATGTTAGCAAGTTTTTCTGGCTCTTGTAGCTATGCCATTCACTTAAAAAGCTTAGAAATGAGTCTTGCTGTGACTTTTCTCCCTTAGTTTGCTGTTGTGTGTGTGTGTAGGAGTGGAGGGTGCCTCTTTGCACTGTCTACAGGGTTCAAGGTGCATGTTTATAGCTGGTTCCTTCTGCCTGGCTGGTTCTTCTCACCTCTTCTTGTTCATATCCATTCTTGGCCTCCTTTTGCTCACATCGTGACTGCTGAGGCTTGCTCCCAAGGCTCTCTCAGAGTTTTTTTCCTTATTTTTGGTAGGGGGGGAGGTAGGCACATGTGTGGCAACTTAAGCTTGTGTTTGCTCACTCAAGAAGAACCCCTAGGGAGTGCTGCTAACTCAGCAACGAGAGTTTGTTAACGCCCAGTATCCTGGGGCTGGGGGTTTACAGTTGCTATTGCCAAGTTTAACTTGAGCTTTCAACCAAGCAGCACTTCAGAATTACCATGAAAAACTTCTCAGGAGTTGGCAGCGTCCTGGTGCTGGTGTCCACACCTCCTCGCTTCTAAGTTACAGGGGCCTTAAACTGGGTGGCAACGAGGTGCCCACTTCATCCTCCTCATGGACATTCCAAGTACCTTATAATGATGAGTTTTGCTAAAATGGTAAACACTGTGTTGTTGTTATTGTTAAGTGCCGTTGAGTCAACTCTGACCCATAGCGACCCTGTATAGGGTTTCCGAGGAGCAACTGGTGAACTTGAAACGTCAAACTTGCAGTTCAAATGGCTTTGCAGTCTGACGCATTAACCCACAGTGCCACAGCAGGACTCCTGTTATTACAGAGGAATTAATTAATCGAAGTGTTTGTAGCTCAGCATGGAAAAGAAAGACGACATATGAATATGCGTGTGTACCCTTGCATGCACACTTTTCCTCCTCTTCTTCCTCAATGTTCTTAGTTCTTCTGCTAGCTTACCAGGGGGATGTGGAATATCATCTTTTATTCCCAGTTGGGGAGACTTGGTTCTTGGATTGGGTGGCCTGGACCAGGGAGTATGGGGGTGGGGATGGGGTGTTAAGTATTTCCAAAGAACTGTGCCTGGAGCAAAATTGATTCAAATCCTTGCTTTTCCTTTCCTGTTTACAATGAGTGAAATCACTTCCTTAGAGTTAAGCCTTAATCATGATCCACACGCCTCTTGAATACTGAAGACAACTGTGGGCCACATTCTCTCTGCCTCCCCCCCCTCCACATTATCTTAATATTTGGATTTGCTCTGAAAATTTAATGAAATTAACTTGAGATTTCAAGTGTTCTGAGAGTCGGTCTTCTCTGTAAAATCAGAATACAGGTTTCCCCCACTATCCAAAATTGAGCATTTTTTTGAAATTTTTCATAAGCAGAAATGGCCTAAAGCGAAGAAGCAATTGTCATTCATTTATCTGGAAAGAAATTTTGAGCATCCAGTCTCAGAAAATAACCTACCAAATAACACATAAAAGCTCACTGAGCACTAACTTATTGAAAAAGGAACGGTATAATCAGTACACAGCCTATATGAAGTAGAAGGCATGTGCATACAGTATTACAGTTCCTGGGGAAGGAGCTTGGTGATACCACTCTCCCTGCTCAAGGTACCTCTTTAATGGCTGCTGCAAAACAAATGCTAAATGCTAGTTTCACTCTTCCCCTTTTTTCATGAAAGTGAAAATCCTCAGGATTCTTTTTGGTTGGTGAAAACTGGTACTGAGTAGTAGGTCTTTCGAAAAGTGGGGAATACTTGTAGTAATGATAATTGCCTTCCTGTAGTATCTGGAGTCCTGGTGTGGCGCTGCAGGATAGTGCACTGAACTACAAGGTCGGAGGTTCAAACCCACCAGTCATCGCTCCTTGGAACCCCTATATAGGGTCGCTATGAGTCGGAACTGACTCAACAGCACTTAACAGTATCAGGCAGAGCCCTGGTGTGGCGCTGTGGGTTAATGCGCTGAACTGCAAGGTCAGTTTGAACCACAAGGTTGATGGTTCAAGCTCACCAGCTGCT